GCCTCTAATTGATGATGTATGTAGGCTTCCAATTGATGTGCCTTGATTGGTGTGCCTTGTTGGTGACGCCGCTTCCTATTCAGCGAAAGATGAACAGTGTGAGAAATGTGGGTCATTCAGCAACAGTGTGGACTGAGACTGTGTGTGTTATGAAAGCAATGGGTTTTATGTGAAATTGTCGATGCCGGCTTTCGATCCGTCTGCTTTGTTTGATGTGACTTTTAGCTACGCCGCTCCCGTGTTCTGTTTGCCAGCCCGGTCATGTCGAACTGTCGCGCTGACCCCCCACGTTTGAGTCGAACTCAATCGAATCGACCTCCATCGAGTCGATCTCGATCGAGTCGAACACGATCGAGTCAAACACGATCGAGTCGAACACGATCGAGTCGAACATGATCGCCTGGGCTCACGATCGGATCCAACACGATCGTCTGGACTCACGATCGCCTGGACTCACGTTCGAGTCGACACGATCGGCTCGAAGACGATCGCCTTGACTCACCATCGAGTCGAACACGATCGCCTGGGCTCACGATCGACTCGAACACGATCGAGTCGAGCACGATCGAGTCGAACTTGATCGAGTCGAACACGATCGTCTGGACTCACGATCGACTCGAAAAACGATCGAGTCGAACACGATCGAGTCGAACACGATCGAGTCGATGATGATCGAGTCGAACACGATAGAGTCGACTACGATAAGCCTGGACTCACGATCGAGTCGAACATGATCGAGTCGAACGCGATCAAGTCGATCATGATCGCGCGAGTCGAACGCGATCAAGTCGAACGTGATAAGCCTGGACTCACGATCGAGTCGAACACGATCGAGCTGGCCTGTCATGCTTGCGCCGAACGAGATCGTGTTGACCACGGGCACGATCACGATCGAGTTGAACACGATCGCGGCTGCCTCGTCACGAAGGAGATGCTGCCTTATCACTATCTGAAACCTTTCTGCTCCTCGTGCCATGCCAACGTTGTGCGGCCTTCTGATTTTTTGCTTCGCGGTGATGTGCTGTGTTGCTTTCAGATTAGGCAGCGCTACAAAACATGGAAGGAGAGGGGAAGGCAAGTAAAAGACGAGCAAGTAAGAATTCTGGGAGCATGGAACAATCTCCGAAAAAATCGAAGGGGACGCCGACCGCTGGGGTGGGGAGTTTGGAGGCACCGGGGTCTAAGCGGCAACGCACCCCGATTTCGAGGGGTGCACCTTCCACGGGCACTCCGTCGACTCGTGTTCGGGGCTCTGGACCGGATAAGGCTGTGTTGATGACTAGCGGGCCTGCGGGTCAGGAACGTGTGCCTGGTCCACATCAGGGGAGATCTGCAGTGGAGGTTATGACCGGACGCAAACCGTCTGGAGAACGTAAATCGTCTGGCAAACGTACACCGTCTGGTGAAACGACTGCCGCGGGTCGGCGAGACGATGTCCCCGTGATTGACCACAAGGACAAGTTCTGGATGCTGGACTTGGTGGGGGAGACCGGACAACCATCGAGTGGCCTTGTTCTATACGTGGTCATCAAAGAAAATATTGTGCCGGTTGGCGGCCTGGTGAGGTGGACTAGGCAAAATGTGCCGTTTGCAACTTTCGAGTTGACGATAGTCCTGAATGGAAGAGGGGAAAGAATACCAAACATTAAACAAGTCGCTCTTCGATGGGCCAAACACGCGGGGCTTGGAAAGTCGTTGGTTGATGTGTTCAACCCACCAGGGACATTGAAAGTGAAGTTGCCTAACCTCGTTGACGTCCTCGGGTTTTTGGACAGTAATGTGATCGCGGGCAGAGAGCCGGTTGTGCATCCAGAGGACCGCATATCAGAGCCTAAATGCGTGCTTTTGAAAATCGTGGAGACAGGGCCTTCGATCACGATCCGCGATACGCCGCTTGGTCCGAAAGCTGGGCAGATAGGAGAGAAGGGTCTGTGCCGCGGACTGGTCGTACCGTCAGCCCCTATGAAGACCAAGCCAACGACGACCAAAGCACCAGTTGCCTTGGGCATCCGATCGCGCTATGATGTGGCCACCAAGGGACATCTCCCCTTGGTGGGCCAGCAGCGCTATGACTACACTGTGTCGGGCCGCGCAGAGGAAGTCCATGAGTATTTTGAAGATGATGATGAAGAGAACAGCGAGGAATATTCGGAACTAGCAGGAGGACAGGAACAGTATGCTGCGGGTGTCGGCGGCATGACAAGGCATCAAGGAGAGACAAGTAAAGTGGTTGGACAGGATGAAGACAGTGAGCACACTGTGAGCGCATCGGGTGGGGAGGTTGGTCCGGCAGGAGGATATGGGAGAAGCTACGAAGGATGTGAAGGGGATGTGCACGCGACAGTGGCTGTGGCTGGGCATACAGATGCTGCAGGGCTCGCTGAGCAAAAGAGAAAGCACAGGCAGGAGAGGAAAAATCTTATGCATAGTAAACGGAGTAGGCAAGAAGAGGGTGAAAAAAGACGATTGAAAATAATGCCCGTGGATGAGGAGGTCCAGCGAACGCGGGAGACTGAGGCAGCCACGAAGAAAAAGCAGCAGCCAAAGAAAAGAAAGGCAAAAGGTGGTGTTATGGAAAAGACTTCTGTTTTTCCAGCGGAACAACCACAATCGGATGAAGAGGCCAAAGGCAAGACAGTTACTAGGCCGCCAAGTTTGCGAAATGTGCCATCAGTGACTTCTTCTGATGTTCTTAGCAAAGGCTTTTTCCTTGAGTTGGACGAGCGTGGGAACCAATGTCCAGACATGGAATTCATTTCTGTCCAGTTCGACAGAATTCAGGATATCCCCGACGGGGAATTCAGATACATTCAACGCTATCTTGTGCAGCAGACGGTTGACGACATTTATGACGCAATGATTGCATCGGGTGAGGCTGCTATGAGAGAGAGAATGACTGGAGCTGCCAGTGTGAATGTCTGTACGTTGTATGAGAAGCCTGTCCTTTTGTTGGTTGCCCTCCGTGATACATTGCATACTCACGCTTCAGGGAGGATTGTGAGAGCAAGGAGGGTGCTGCCCGATGATTTCGACCTCGAATCTGTGAACAAGTACTACTACTACCCTCTCAGCGGTCAGCATAACGTGGCGGCGACAAGAAGGTGTTTTGTTGAACGCCCTGACATCGCACAAGAGCTCCGATTGGATCGCTGGACTGCGAGGCCTGTTTATTATCCAGATAAGAGCGTGGACAATTACGACACGCTGAGCACTTTCCAGAACTCCAATGACAAATGGAATACCCCACCGCACCAGAACGTGGTCGTCCAAAACATACGGAAGTTGTGGCACGAGTCGAACTGTCCTGAAGCTAAGAGCGGCTTAGCGGCAGAAGTGAAAAATGCAGAGTATAGAAAGTTTGCAGGAGAGGCTCTTCGTTTGACTGGGATTCGTAATTTGATTGACATGTCCCTTACTACTCAATGGAGCAGCCAGTGGTCTGACGCCCTCGGGTCCTACATGTTGTTGGCAAGGGCGACAGATGACGTTTTCGAAAAGGTGAAACAAGTGTACACCGCTTGGGAAGCTGGACAATTGTCGGGGAGAGATGTTGTGAAGCCTGCTACCAAACAAGGTGAATCAGGGAAGGCACCGAGGGCTGGACCCGGATTTGAGTTGAAAGGTGGAGTTAGGTATCCGGTTCACTGGGTTTAGGGTACCAAAGGACCTGGTTACCTCGTGGCTGTGCACGATCCGGATATCAGAGCGTGGAAGCCTTTTTCAGCGTTTGGAAGGCGTGAGCGGCTGCAACTGTTGCGAGACATTCTCACAGGCAGTGTAATACTGACTCCTAAGCAAAGTGGAGCTGCTCAACGTGCCGGGAAACATTCAACGGAAACATATGTGGAAATTGTGAAGATTGAAAGAGCAAAGTTGAGGATGTTTCACTACTTCGTCTTCATTTCTGACCCTCATAGAAAGTCGTTAGAGTGGACGGAACCATTCTTCAACAACCTTTTCGATTTGTTTGATAAGTACTTTGATGAAGGATTGACGTCCGAGAGGTGGATCGACCAGCGTCGCCATTTCAAAGAGATGAGTTGGGTGCGAACGTTCCCGGCTACACTTGGAGGAGAGGAGAAAAAAGGAGAAGAGGGCTTCAAGAAAACAGCGTCACGTGCTGCGAAGTGCCCCAAAGAGTTCGTGCAGTTTGTCAACAAGCTGCTCCGCAGATTAGAAACCAGGGGTTCGGAAAGCATAAGAATGTCGGGCTCGGCGCAATATATACATTTCAAAAGACAGAACGTGACCTCTGTTTTCGTCCCATTCCAACGGGAACCAAGCGATATTTCAGATGAGATGGATTCCAAGGAAATATATAGAGTCGTCAAACATCTGAGTTGCCACACGGCCGTGCTGGATTTATGTCACCCAACCCAGATAGGGGTGTGGACTGAAGAAGTCTTTGATTGTCTGCGAAAGTTCATGGGAAAACTGGTTGGTGATTAATGGACATTATTGTGCTTCGTTCCACGATCTTGCGAGTATACATTTTTCAAGCGAGTTACAAGTTGGGAGATTGACATTCACTTGTCTATTCTAAAGTGAACTCGTCAGCTACAAACGAAGGCGAAGCATTTATATAAGGTTGCGAACTTGCTTTTGGAGGACACAGACAGAATGGTTGTCATCATGTACTCCAACGATGAGGATTATCACCGCAACACTATTCCCTTGCTTGAAGACATTCCAACAAGCACTCCAGCTGCAGATCGATCATCTGGCGAGCAGGCGGGTGACTTATCAACACTTGTGCGCAGAGAGAGAAGGCCAAAAATGTTGGTTGATGTCGTGGAGAAGAACTTCATGCCCACGAAATTGAAAATGACAGGTATGGAGCCAAAAGAGAAATTGGTGTACGAAGGAATGGAAAGGGAGCCAAATGCGATGGTGGAGACATTGGAGCATTCTTATCCTGCGGATGAGGCGGTTGTTTTTTTGGGAAAAGGTCATGCGGCGTTGATTTGGGAGTTGTTAAAGAGTCACCGTCATTGCATTGTTCTGGAAGGGGAGGGTATGAAGTCCTAGTTTCTCGTTCAATTCGTTACCAAGATGGTCAAGAGTGGACTTTACCTCGCCAAATTTGTTAAGCCGCCTCCTCGACATGATGAAAAGCGTGATCTCGTCTACAAAGTCGGCAAAAACATCGTCAACATTTGGGAGTTCCTTTTCGAGAATAAGCCACAAAACAGAGGGGAACGTGCATATGTCGTCAAAAGGCGAAAAATGGAATCACTTCAGAGGGTGTATCATAAGGCACCGACGGAGACGGAAGTTGCATTTCTAGACCGTTTGGAGATGATGTACTTCGACGAACAAATCGGGGCGCTTACAATCGCAGCTTATGCAACTTCTTTTGGGGAAGGCTTCGATGTTGAGGACTCAGAGGAAGAAAGTGAAGATGGTACTTTGCAAGTGGCTTTGCCAGATGAGAGGCAAAAAACTTGTAGCTCGGCTTCGCAGAAGATGGGTGCGCCGGGCACATCGTCCGGTTCTTGGGGGGCTTCGAGTATGGCCGTTATAGCAGACCAGTTTCAACGGACAAGTTACATGGCGGGCAACACAACAGCGCTCTCTTCCGGCGCAGTTCGGGATGATCCGAGGCTGCAGGCAATTCTCTCCCCAGAGGTTATGGCAAGTCCGTCAGCACTTGCACATAGCCCGGCTACTGTTTTGGAATTGCTACGCTCTCAAACTCCTCAACCACCTCCGTCTGAGCCTTTGGAGTACGAGATTGAAGACATCATCCCTCCGGACATTGCACGGCTTCCTGGACCTATTGTGTGCCGGGACAATTATACGGTGATGCCTGACAACGTATGGGGTCATCACATTATATGGCACCCCCACCACTTCCAACCTGCATTGGCGAGAGGGAACTGGGTAATGGCTATAAAAGAAGAAGCGGAGTTGCAATTTTGCCTCCACGGACGCATGTCACGATCCAAGTTTGTCACACACGCCAAAAATGAGATTGGCAAGCGACCACTGCGACTTAATCCGAAGGTTTCTCAATCAAGACTGGATGTAAGGACAGAAGAAATCTTTGAGGAGTTCAAAACATCTCGATGGCTTGAGTATCTGGAAGAGTTCTATGATCGAGAAGCAAGTCCAGCTTTTGGATATAATTGGCGTATCAAAGAGGAACTTGAAGACAAAGTTGGGGAAAGGAAAGGAGCGAGCGGCGATGAGAGTGGCAAGGGATCAGGATCAGGCGGCGGTGCGCTTGGCAAGGGAACAAGATCAAGTGGTGGTGAACATGGCAAGGGATCGGAACCACGGGGCGGTGCAAGTGGCAAGGGCCTGGGACCGAGCGTCGGTGCAAGTGGAAAGCCAATAAGTCATGGTGAACTGCAAAAACACGAAATGTGTCAAGGGCGTCAAGCAACAGAGGGAAAGGTATCAGGACCAAGCGGCGATGCACATGACAAGGTATCGGGTTCGCCTCTGGGATTAGGACCAAGCAGCTGTGCACATTGCAGGGGATCGGGTTCGCCTCTGGGAATAAGACCAAGCGGCAGTGCACATGGCAGGGGATTGAGAGGCGATGCAAGTGGCCAGGATTTGGGAGGAAGCAGCGGTGCAAGCGTCAAGGGCGTAAGTCATGGAGAACTGCCGAAATGTGTCGAGGACGTCCTTTCGGATGACCAAGTTTGGGCGACCACTGTGTTGGCGAGCGAGAGTGTTACTGCGCAAGTGGATAATAYTKGTGCACTTGCAGAATTAGAGATGCCATTGGATATGCCAGCTGAGAAAGATGAACATGAAGTCTCTCTGGACATGAAGAATGAAAGCGCGACTGCAGGTGCAAGCGAAACTGCCAATGTACAGGCCATCGAAGAGGATGAAGGACATACAGTACTAAGTACACGGGAGAAACATACGCTTGTACAACCTGAACTTATGGTTGCAAAATTAGAAGCACAACAGTCTGCTAACCTCATGATATCTATCGACGAATCTCCTTTTACACCATCGCATGGTGCGATAGAAGATCGTGTTGAAGACAAAGTGTTAGTGAGCCACCGAGGTGAGCACGTACTTATCTCCAAGGGAATATCTAATACTGTATGCGGATTAGGGGGTACATGCACTCATCTCATAGGAACTAATTTTTTACCTAAGTTTGCAACCGTGCGCTCGGTCATGAGAAGAAATGAAGTAGAATATTGTGTATCTCTTATTTGTAATTATGTGGAAAATTGAACTTAAACTTATAATGTTTTGTCTTGTCAATCATTGTCGTTTTATATTGTTGAACATGCAGGGCGACGAAAAGAACTGTGGAAAACGACGCACGTACGTTCGCAAAGGCAGAGTGAGAAGAATATTATTCGTCGTGGCTTGCAAGCCTTATCGACTTTGTCGTTATTGCCCAAAAAAGAGAGAAGAAGACTTACACCCATGACATTTCCATCTATGAAGCCAGCTGCCCTAAGGATGTTTAAAGTTGTTGGAATAAGCCTCAGGGAAGGGAAGAAATTGCATCGCGAAGGTTGCAGTTTATCTATTGTGGATGGCAGCTCTGATAGCGAAACAGATAGACAACCAAAAACATGAACTCGGGTTTACGTCGTACATCACATAATGAAAAGTTCGTTTTTGTATAAAGTCTTAGTCGTTCCATTGTTGTTTATATGTGTGTTTGTATGCAGTGCATGACCCTTCGTTCCAGATTCCTTTAGCAACAAAACGCCTCACCGTAGAAGAAAAGGAGTATCTTGACATGATTACAGGCAGCAACGAAGACAATGAAGCATACGACATTGTCGATTACAAGGGAAGCTGGAAGGTGGGAAAGGAAGACATCATGGTCGTCGTCGAGGATGGGAAATGGCTAAATGACAAAGTCGTCAATTTGTACCTGCTAGCCGTCCAAATCACCAATGATCACATCAAGGTTGATTCAGCATGTACAGAAGTGACAAGAGATAGGGTTCCTTTTGTGTACCTTTTCAATTCTTTTTTCTTCACTCGATTGTCAGGTCCTTCGAGGTTTGAAACTGCATATTCCGAAGGGATGAAATGGGTGAAAGACACAAATCTTTTTTATTATGACTTAGTGATTATCCCTCTTCATTTTGGAAATCGCTGGGCGTTAGCTTATGTCAGCATAGACGGTCCTAACTGTAAATTCCACCTCATAGACTCTCTCCCTTATGCTGACTATGTTTCAGTCCTTGAACGTTTGGAAGATTTTTTCGAAGCGGAGTTTCATCGGCACAATCTTCGCGAAAGATATTTTGTGGATGGACCTACATCCTCCTTTGATACATCAGTGGATGGGATTCCTGCTCAAGAGGATCCTTGTAGTTGGTGTTTTTATGTTAGGTTTTGCATCTTTGCTTGCAAGAGGTCACTTCCCTCCATTTGCTTTCCCACAAACCAACATTTCTGATATGAGGCTTAAAATAGCATTTGACATTTTGTCCATGGTGAGATACGAAAGTCAATGAGGTGCGACTAAAGCTACAGTCCGTAGTTAATATTTTGTTGATGAGATTGACATGTTTACTGAGTGTAAACATTTGAGGTAAAAACTTGACATTGTATTATATTTTGAGCATAGGCAACACGGGAGCATGAATGTCACATTAATTTTTCCTCATTGTTTTGTCGTTCCTTCAACTTTGCATTGCTGTGAACATTGTTTCGTCCTTATTTTGCTTTGTCGTTATTTCGATTTGTTGTTATTTTGCTTTGTCGTTATTTTGCTTTGTCGTTATTTTGCTTTGTCGTTATTTTGCTTTGTCGTTATTTCGTCTATAATTTCCTTATTTCGTTCTGCCATTTTACAATTAAAAAAAAAAGTGAACATGAAAACAATTTCACTTATAACGAAAACACCGTTATGTGGGGCAACGACAAAAAAATATTTTTTCGAAAGGCGTCTTGATGCCGCCTAACATGTAAGAACCGCTGTCAGTCACCCACCTAACACCGTGCATGACTACCGACTGTACATCTTCAACCCCGTTTTCTCCGGCTCGTCCCCTGATAAACCCTGCTGCAACCCCAAATTGGCCTGCACAACACACATGAAAACGAAAGTTTTACGACACGATAAAAGTTTATGGAGTGAAGTGCAGCTTCAAGTTGGCTGCGTACAAACGTCCAAACATGGGACCTAGCCCCCCCGCCAGGGAGTGTAAAACCAATGGCACACCAACAAGTATCCAAGAATTGTTACACCCAAGAGTTGTTGAGAAACAGACCGGTCCGATGGTTGAATCCAGATACCACCATAAGAGTTGTAGCATCATCAGTTTCCTCCATCAACAATGTTTGGTCACCCAGTATCATCATGATGAGGGGCTAATACAAGTCTTGCGCTTGCGTCGTTGCTATGGTGTAAACCTATCTCGAGGGGTGAGGACTCAAGAGAGTTTCAGGTCTCGTTGGTGTTCCTCCTTACTATACATAGACGAGCGAGAGGATGAGATAGATGGGTGTTCCCCCTTCCTATATATAGACTACCGAGAGGATGAGATAGATGAGTAATCCCTCTTACTATACATAGACTAGCGAGAGGATGTGATAGATGGGTGTTCTCTCTTGCTATACATAGACTAGTAGCGAGAGGATGAGATCAATAAGTAAAAGCATGTCAATATGTATATAAAAGTAAATTGATAGAAGAATATAAAAAAACACCAGTACGCCATCCACGGATATATGTAGGATCCAGGTGCAGTCAATCTAATTCGTAAGGCATATCAGAAGGTCTTCGGTTCAATCCTCATTGACCTCATGTACCTCACTGGGCAAGCTTGGCGCCTGCTACTTAGAGATAGCTCATTGCTCCCCCGAGCCGCATTGAGCAGTGACTGCTAATCAATCCAGTGTATCTGAATTCTATGTGATTGCGAGAGCGAGGTCGTGGACGCCAAGGAGAACGGGTGTCCCACTGGTTAGAGTTACTGAAACAAGTCTTCAATCAGCTGACGTCAGATGAGAAATTTGCTCATTGACAACTATTTGAGTACGTATGGTGGGAGTGCTGTCCGGAAGTCGAAAAGATTGTCATAGATGCCCAAGGGAGTTGGACCGAATTTAAGAAGGGAATGCAGCGGAAGTACAAGTTGGGAGATGGTTTGCTAACAGGGGGAGGGGGGGGGTGCAAAGGCTAGAAAGGTCTATGTTCACAAAATGTGGGCGACAAGGGGTAGTAGGCGGTATCCTGCTCAACATCCTCTTAGCTTACAGACGCAGATATTTTTCGCTTTTATAAGTAACACGCCGTAATCAAAACCATAATTTCCATAAATATAGAGTTACACCCAATAAATGACCAAAAGTAATGAGGTAAGTAGGTGCCTACATGTATTCTTGGAATCAATGTGTTTCAGCACAAAGTGTATGAACCTACTGAGCTGTCCAATACAACTCTCTCTCAACAGTAGGAACCTACTGACCAACTGGCATTTCGTTAAAATTGCCATTTTTTACTATTTTCATGAAATTGGGCATCCAAGAAAAAACTGTGTTTTTTTAGCGTGTTTTTGTGCCCACGACATTGGACCATTGATGGTCCGGCGTCCTAGGGACTCCGGACCATCTAATGTATCTCCACGTAAAGTACCGTCAAAATACATTCGAGGGTCATAAAAAAACGAAAAAAAATCAAGGCAGATCATATGGTCCGGCGTCTTGGGGACGCCGGACCATCAATGGTCTGATGTGAAATGCCTGTTGACCAGTAAAATATTACACGACTCAACATGAGAAAAAGGGTAGAGCGAGGTAGGGGGGATGGGGGAGGGAATGTCGTATATAGGGATATGACTAGTACATAGCAATATGGTTTTTATATACTTTTTTTTTTTTTTTTTTTTGGCTCACAAGTGTGCAACACGATGAAAGCTGAGACTTGTTCAAATCATGTTGAAATTGGGTGAAACCTGTTGAAACCTATTGGAACGTGTTGATAAGCACTTAAGAATTTTCCCCAATCATTTTAAGCCCATTTTAAATTGTTTGTAACCACATGAAATCATGCTCTCTGTTCATCAACAATTATGGCAAATTGAAAACCCGCCCATCTCACCGACTTTTTTTTTTTTTATCCCTATGAGCCACGACCGCCTGACCTGGAATCCGGTTCTGGTCGAAGAAGTCGAAAACCTCTACGAGATCAGGCAATCTCAGTCCTAGACTTGGATCCGGATTGAAGAGGTCCATGAGTGATTTACCATATGCTTTATGTTTGTTCCACCTGGCAGCAACATGTTTGACATCTGAAACTCTCTGGCCCTTGCCGTTTAGGAGCATAGTCATATCAAAAGTGGCAACCGGACATCGCTTGCCCGACCAAAATGCAATGCCGCCTATCGGTCTGAGTTGTTCTTGTAAGACGACGTACAGAAGCAGCCCACTTCCAAGCTCCCCAACCTTGCTTACCCAGTCCAACATCCAGAATTTGTCTTTGTAGTAGTCAATGGCGGACAGGACGTCAGATAGCCCATGGACAGACCTCTCGGCGAAGCCTGCATGCCCTGCTGTCTCTTGTGCGTAGTTTCGCCGACCACCACCTGACCCTTGACTGTCGGTAAGACAAAGAACCCCGCGAATTAGCATCAATACGACGTCGAGAGGAAGGGGGACTGGGAGGAGGAGAGAATGAACGAGCCTGCCGACGTCCCAATATGGACAACGAAGATAAGGAGGGGCCGGTCTCAGCTGCCATGGGGAAAAGGAAGACAAACTAAAGAAGACAAATGAGGAGGAAGAACTTCAAGAAGAAAAGGACGAAGAAAAGGATGATGAAAAAGAGGAAGTAGTAGTAGTGGAAGAAGAAGAAGAAGAAGAAGAAGAAGAAGAAGAAGAAGAACTTGAAGAAGGAGGAGGAGATGACAATGAAGAAGAGGATGCAGGCAAAGAGGAAGGAGAAGGAGAGGGAGGAGGAGAGGGAGAGAAAGGCAGAGGGGAAGGGGAAGGGGAAGGAGGAGGGGGAGGGGGAGAAGAGGGGGGATGTGGAGAAGAGGAGGGGGAAGAGAGGGAAGGGGAAGTTGGACAAGGAGAGGGAGGGGGAGGGGGAGGAGGATGAGAAGATGGAAAAAAGGAAGGGGGAGGAGGAGGGGGGGAGGGAGAAGAAGAAGGGTCAGCGGGCCCACCAATTGTATCACACCTAAAAACATAAGTCACAGTGCAGACAAAACAGCCTATATAGCTTTCACGATTCTCCTATTTATGATCATTTTCATCTCACCTCACAAATATATATATAGTTGTTCCCAGATGAGGAGGAGACCCAAAAAAAAAGAAGAAAAGTTGTTGCTGTTGCTTTTTTAGCCCCAACCACCTAGAGATAGGCCGTTGGTCCCCCTGAGTGACATTAGCAGAGACTGTTGATGTTTATAGGGGGAGGGGACTGGAGGTGAGGCACAAGTCGCACAACGACTGGCCCATCGAAGAAGCTCGGTCCTGATGGTAACGGCTGACCCTTGGCTGGTATCGCCCACCTGCTGTAGCACGTATTGCACCTGCTGGTGGGTGCAACTCTTGCATGTTCCCTCGTTGGAGGCTTGAGCACGGTTGTGGCTGCTACAGGGTTGTAGCAGGTATTGCACCTGCTGGTGGGTGCAGCTCCCGCATGTTCCCTCGTTGGAGGCTTGATCACGGTTGCGGCTGCTACAGGGTTCCCCGTAAGACTATAATGACAATAAAAAGGCCTGAAAGGCGGTGCTATCCAGATTTGACAGTTAATTGCAGCAATTAGCGTTTTTTATTTTCTTATTAAAAAAAGTTCCAAGCCCCAGTAAGACTAGCCTCTAGTCATACTCACATTGGCGCTTGGCTGATGTATCTGACGTAGATCATGGCAAAAGCTCGATGCATCTGACTGCAATCACGTCCTGTCCAGATTTGACAGGTAATTGAATTGAATTAACGTCTTTTATTTTTTTTATAAAAAATAACGTCTTTATTCTTTTATAAAAAATAAAGTCAAAGTCCCAGTGCGATTAGCCTCAGGTCATACTCACATTGGCACTTCCCTGATGTATCTGACTTCGATCACGGCAAAAGATGGACACATCTGACGGCAATCACATCTACAGTTGAGTCCAACATTTAGTTGTCGTGTGAGTATGCCCTTCAAGATCTCAGTCGGCTCGGAGTCTTTTTTTATTTTTTTATTTTTTTAATATCAAAATACGGGCCCAGTGCCCAAGGCTTATATTACCAAGGAGCTGTCCTATACCTGCCTTTCTGGTTGGGGAGCAGTTTGGTCGGTTTGTAGAGGTCACTACCTCAACTCACGGCCTCAGCAGACCCCAACTGTCTTTTCAATAGTACCCCTCACAAGCAAAAAACTCCCCACGGTTCTTTTTTTGCATCTACAGTTGTCCCTGTTTAACAGTTTCTCTTCCATCTGGGCCTCCTAGATCTACAATAAGATTGTCCTTTGCTTAGAATCTGTGTTGGGACAAGGAGTTGAGCAGGACTCACCCTGGATGCAGTAGGGCCTCGTTGGGCCAACCGCTGCCACTTCCTTGCGCAGATACAGTATATGTAACCGGCTGAGGACCGGTCGCTGCAGGTTGTGAAGACTCGCGCGGTGCGCCCTCCGCAGCTCGACCGCCAGCCGCTGCGCTTATAGCATACGCGAACCTGTCACATCGCACACAACAGTCAACCACTCGTTGGGAAGAGAGCTCGTTTTCCCTCGCCGATTTTGGCCAGGGTCCGTGTCCAGATACCCAGCCCTTCCACTGCTTCCCACGCACCCTATCTGCTTTGCCCTTTCCCTACGTCTCGCAGTCCCCCAGTCAGTTTGCAGTTTCTGTACATTTCACGTCGGTCAGCAGTCATTGATCCTACGCGGTCGTCGGTCTCCTTAAGGATTTGGTAAGCCCGTCCTTTCCCATGGCTCACACCGGCTGGAACGAAGGCCAATCCTCCTCGGCTACTCCTGTTTCTGTGCTCCACTCCTCCCCTCCCACCTCCCCCCCTGTCTCCTCCCCCTTCCTCAGCTTCCTCTCGTCATCACCTCCCTCCTCGTCTCCCTCCCCCTCTCCTTCCTATCACTCGCTGCCGTAGTCTGATGTCGTCTTCTTCGATCCTCTCCTCGGATCGCACTTTCCTTCTCATTACCTTCTACAGTCATCTTCCCCTGAGCCTTCCCGCTTATTCCTTAATCACTTCTCAACCCTCTTGTCGCCCCCTCTTCCATCTTCCTCTCCCCCTCCTATCCTTTCGGATGACGCTCTCGATAACTTCTTTGTTATCGATCCCCCTACCGCATCGGTTCTTCCGCTCAAACTGTTCCTCCTTCCTCGCATCATTCTCCCCTCCATGATCGAACTTCAGAAGATTCTTTTCCTTGCACGTTACGGCTCCGTTCTCAATCCGCAAGACGTTGCAGACTTCACCAAGAGTGCAGCAAAGTTCAAGTTCAGCGGCAAGACTGACCCTATGTACTTCCTTATGCGAGACACTGCTGCAGAGCTTGTTTCCCATTCCTTCTTCTCCCCCTCATTGCTTAGATCCACTTTCATCGACAACAGGAAGAGTCTAGAACTATACCAGAGTGCACTGTGTTGGATTGTAACACATTGCACTGCTGTGTTGGACTAAAACACAGTGCAATGTGGTGTTGAAGTGCAAGGACTTCAAAACTGCTAAACAATTGTATCCTCTGCACACCACAAAGGAGGTTCTTGAACCCTTCATCGACAGTTTTAACAGGCGCGGGGCTAAGCCCAGTACTTTGTTGGACCACATTGAACGTGCCAAGCAGTGGAGGAAGCTGGAGGACAAGAGAATAAAGGAGGCAGAAAGAACAACTCGCGATTTCTTCCGAGGTGCGGCTTTGGACGAGCCTTTCGCTGACTGGACGGGAAGACAGAGAGGAGGATAGAGCGAAGGACAGAGAGGAGGACAGAGAAGAGGGTGGTCTAAGTAGATAAGGAGCAGTGTGCCCAGCGAGTCCCTCTGAACAAGCGATGAAAATGTCGGCAGTTGTTTTGCGTGATGTCTGCAAGTCTAGTCAATTGAAGCCTGCACTCGGAAACAGAGGAGTCAAAGAACGGACGATCTCTAGACGATCTCGTGATGTCCCCTTGAATGATTTGGGCCCCTCTAGCGGTGGGTGCCGACTTAAAGCTAAGTCGATTTATAGTCCTAAAAATCAATGTTGCTAAACAGAACTAACCAGCAAGGACTCCTTATCTCCCTGAAACGAATTAGCTTTAGAATCCTAACAGTGAATTCACTTTGCTAAAGATCGTTGTTGCTAAACAGAAGTAACCAACAAGGCTCTCCTAGCACCGGAGGAGGGGCAAAGGGATGAAGATGACATGGGTGAGGGAGACGATACGGAGGAAGAAGGAGAGGAAGAGGAAGAGGAGGGAGAGGGGGACAAAGAGGAGGACAAAGAGAAGGACAAAGAGAAGGACAAAGAGGAGGATAGAGAGGAGGATAGAGTGAAGGACGGAGAGGAGGACAGAGAGGAGGACAGAGAAGAGGGTGGTCTAAGTAGCTAAGGAGCAGTGTGCCCAGCGAGTCCCTCTGAACAAGCGATGAAAATGTCGACAGCTGTTTTGCGTGATGTCTGCAGGTTTAGTCAATCGAAGCCTGCACTTGGAAACAGAGGAGTCAAAGAACGGACGATCTCTATACGATCTCGCGATGTCCCCTTGAACGATTTGGGCCCCTCTAGCGGTGGGTGCCGACTCAAAGCTATGTCGATTTATAGTCCTATAAATCAATGTTGCTAAACATAACTAACCAGCAAGGCCTCCTTATCTCCCTGAATCGAATTAGCTTTAGAATCCTAACAGTGAAATCGCTTTGCTAAAGATCGTAATTGCTAAACAGAAGTAACCAACAAGGCTCTTCTAGCACCGGAGGAGGGGCAAAGGGATGAAGATGACATGGGTGAGGGAGACGATACGGAGGAAGAAGGAGAGAAAGAGGAAGAGGATGGAGAGGGGGACAAAGAGGAGGACAAAGAGAAGGACAGAGAGGAGGACAGAGAGGAGAATAGAGTGAAGGATAGAGAGGAGGACAGAGAGGAGGACAGAGAAGAGGGTGGTCTAAGTAGCTAAGGAGCAGTGTGCCCAGCGAGTCCCTCTGAACAAGCGATGAAAATGTTGGCAGCTGTTTTGCGTGATGTCTGCAAGTCTTGTCAATCGAAGCCTGCACTTGGAAACAGAGGAGTCAAAGAACGGACGATCTCTATACGATCTCGTGATGTCCCCTTGAATGATTTGGGCCCCTCTAGCGGTGGGTGCCGACTTAAAGCTAAGTCGATTTATAGTCCTATAAATCAATGTTGTTAAACAGAACTAACCAGCAAGGCCTCCTTATCTCCCTGAAACGAATTAGCTTTAGAATCCTAACAGTGAATTCACTTTGCTAAAGATCGTTGTTGCTAAACAGAAGTAACCAACAAAAGGCTCTCCTAGCACCGGAGGAGGGGCAAAGGGATGAAGATGACATGGGTGAGGGAGAGGATACGGAGGAAGAAGGAGAGGAAGAGGAAGAGGAGGGAGAGGGGGACAAAGAGGAGGACAAAGAGAAGGACAGAGAGGAGGACAGAGAGGAGGATAGAGCGAAGGACAGAGAGGAGGACAAAGAGGAGGACAGAGAAGAGGGTGGTCTAAGTAGATAAGGAGCAGGAAGAAAGCCGACAATGAGTAAGATTACACCCTCAGGTAATTGTGTCCAGCAAGTCCCTCTGAACAAAGATTTAAATGTAATACTTGGCAGCAGTGGAGATGAAGAGGAGGAAGACGTTGAGCAGGAGGAAGAGGATGAAGAGGATGAAGAGAATAGAAAGGGGGAGAGGAATCAGGATGGACGCTCAAGGACGAGGAGGATGACGCTGAGATGGAGGCACCGGAGGTGAGGTAAAGGGATGGATATAACATGGGTGAGGGAGAGGATACGGAGGAAGAAGGAGAGGAAGAGGAAGAGGAGGGAGAGCAGGACAGAAAGGAGGACAGAGAGAAGGACAGAAAGGAGGATAGAGCGAAGGATAGAGAGGAGGACAGAGAGGAGGACAGAGAAGAGGGAAAAGAAAAGGAGGGAAAAGAAAAGAAAGAAGAAGATGGGGAGCAGGAGATGGGGACAAGTTGCAAAAAGACCACCTCCTTATCCTCCCCCTCCTCCGATAGTATCTGAAGATTGCTTCTAAGAAGGTATCTGAGAACTCGTTTCGTCTCCACATGGACTGTTTGCATCGGCCGCCTGAGAACCTGCAGGGCCAGAGACCTCTTGAGATCCGTGCGTCGAACGAGTTATGTATGCAAATAATCATCACGTCGCTCAAGAGGAACCCGTTTGGATGTCCTCCGGAGCAAGCAAGAACTGTTCATGCAATTGACGAGCAGAGGTCGTTGTGCCATGGTTACAAAGTTTTTTTAGGGACGGAGGGCACAAGCGTGAAGCTCGAAATAGGATGCGGTCTTTGTTTCCAAAGGTTTCCACAGAGATTTTTCTTTGGTTGAAAAGTTGAAGTGCTGGCGGCCATTTTTTGTAGAGAAAGGTTTCGAAAAGACGGCTGACACAAAGCAAGCTTGCTTGGAGGAGATGAGACTCAGTCCTAAAAAGAAGATGATCCAAATAATTGATCCGTTGTTGCAGGTCGCAATGCACTTCAGACAGCAAAATCGCATTACAAAGGACTACAAATCGATTTGAAGCAGTGTTTCTTCCTCTGCCTCGCTAAACCTTTAGGAATTGCCAAGATTCTCTAACTGAAGTTGAATTTGAGTTCATAAAAGCGACGCAACCAACGTTCTGGTGCAGAACCAATAAGGCTCTCTTGTCCCCCTGAACGCTTGKARCACAGTTTCTCCCTCYGCTGCTTCGCGCTCAAGTCAATCAGCTTCGTTTTTGGCTGGATGGTACGGTACTTGTCGGGAACTGAATTGAAGCGAGGCAGTTAGCAGCCTYRCGTGGAATCCGCCCTGTCTGGCTGGCAGGGCGCTACAAGGACCTCACGACAAAAAGCAAAAAACGAAAACCACGTCTCACGGTCCTCACATACTGGTCAGATACATTCCTCAAAGCACTGGTGTAACCCCCACCTACTTAAGGTCGGGAACCTCACAATTTGTCAGGGAAGTAATGCCGTCTACTACTGATGCTTTACATACACACAGGGAACCTCACAATTCGTCAGGGAAGTAATGTCGTCTACTACTGATGCTTTACATACACACGCACGCCCCTCCTATTTAGGGCTGGTACTTAGATAATGAGCGGGGTTCAGGGCAGCATAGGGCGGAAAGTAGAATAGGATAACTTAGGTCGGGGGAGAGGTGGTATATCCTTGGCCAAGGACCTCTCACGGTCGTCACATACTGGTCATGTACAATCCTCAAAGCACTGGTGTAACCCCTACCTCCGTGAGGACCTTTTTCTTTTTATTTGTTAAAAAGAAAACTGTCACTCAATTATATTCCAACAACCCAATCGAGGCCGGGGACCTCACAATTCAACCTCGGTGAGGGCCTTCTGGACGTCCGTGGATTCAGACTCTCAGAGTTCTTCCTCATTAGGGCTGCTACATAGATAATGAGCGGGGTTCAGGGCATCGAGGGGCGAAAATGGGCAGCAAAGAGCGGAAAGTAGAGTAAGGTAACTTAGACAGGGGGGTGAGGTGGTACATGCTTCGTCGGGGAAGGTAACTCAGGGCTGGTACTTAGATAATGAGCGGGGTTCAGGGCAGCAAAGGGTGGAAAGTAGAATAGGATAACTTATGCCGAGGGGAGAGGTGGTATATACTTCCGCAGCAAAGATACCAATGTCGTCTACTCAGGCCTCCCACCCAAAACGGGGAGGAGTGTGTGTGAGTTTTCCTTGTATCTCAAGTTGGTAGGAACCGGACTGATGTTCCTCAGAATGAAATTCGGCATGTGGTTTCCCTGTCTAAATCTCTCACGTACCTCACTCTTTCTCTATCTGAAAACCTTAACGTTTATAGTTCTATAAATGTCGAAGCCAGATCGCGCAATTATGTGACCTAGCTTAGTGGGGATGTGAGGCTTGGTAGAAAGATGTCGGGGTTTAAGACCGGGTAAGGACAGCTCAGTAAGTGGGAAGGCGTAGAAAGGTCTTCTCGCTCTACCGGGAACTTTCTAGTTGACCTTTGTCCCTGAATGTACACTCAGTCTTATATTTTAACCTTCCGCTGTCTGAGGCGCAGACACATAGCACGACCCACAGAGATGCCGCTCGAATTTGGACTTTTTGTTTTTGTTTTTTTGTTTGTTTTTTTCTTGGAAAGCTTCAATTTGTATTACAAAACCAGATGGAACGAGGCCGGAGTTTTCCTGGTAGCCTCAGCCAGTTTCGCTTACGAGCCCTGCTCGAAGACCCACTCACTGCACAAAATCTAACAATTCTATTGCTGGAAACCGGGTCCAACGTCCCATACTTCTCTAAAACTTTCCAATTGATCATTGAAGCACAAGTAAAAAAAGGCGGCCTGCAAATGCAGCCACGATGTGAAGTATCAGGAAATACTCAACAGCACTTAGCCCAAAGGGCACAGTCTTTGCGGGCCAATGGGCCCAGCCCGACAGGTAACTTGGGCCTCCAATCCCCTTTACCTTTGAATTGAGTGTGGACTGGGGCTTGAGGCTAGTGCCCACTGAGAACTCTGAAAGGTTTCTGGGGATTCAGGTGGCACTGTCTGATTGCTCCAGGACGCAGGATTAGCTCCTATCTGATCGGGTTACGACAATAATTCATGGGTGGCTACGCAACTACAGATTGTGCCTGTTGGGGAGAGCTTTGGTGTTATCAGCAGCTGCTTTCTCGATACTTTGGTTCCCGCTGTCGGTATGTCTGTTAGGAGATGAAGCCTATACGAATATCAAGAAAGCAATTGCTCGATACCTGTGGAAACCTTCGGCAGAGGAGGACCAAGCTTTCATATCTAAAGTAGCATGGGATGTCATATGTTGCCCTCGGACACAAGGAGGGTTGGGGATCCTGGACCCTCGTGACCAAAACCTGGCCCTGCTGGCCAAATGGGTAATAAAAGGTATAACGGATGATCCTTCCAAGCTTTGGTTGCTTTTCGCTGAATATATTTTGTCCAAGGAATGGGAGCTGTCAGACAAGGGCAGGGTGTGGCAGTGTTGCATGCTGCCCAGCTTCCTCAGTAGGCGGGTGAAGTCGAAGGTGTGGCACGACATTCTTTACACATGGAACAGACTACGTCTCCGTTGTCTGGGAGCCCCAATTGCTAAGTCCGAGATTGGTAACCAACCTTTATTCGATAACCCCAATGTCTGCTCGCCCAGTGATGGGGTCTTTGCTGCAAAGGACGGGCCCGGTAACTTTGGACGAGCTTGGATTGAAAAAGGAATCTTATGCGTCAAGCATATTTGGGATGAGGAGCTAGAAGAGTGGCTATCACACGACAAGATCCGCAGGAAGCTGCCCAGACTGCACCAAGTGATTACTAATTATGAGAAACTGAGATCGGCCATCCCGCAAAACTGGGCCATGATACTAAAATCTTCCACTGAAAATGTCTGCGGGACCTGGTTGTGCTCAGTGGACGATGAAGTTGTGTGGAAAGTGGTGGGCCCGACGCTGGGGCCAGGTATCAGAGTGGAAGAGTGGTTATGACTCAAGACAACAAAAGGATCCAGCCCTCTTCGCCTGTTGTCTGAGAGGACAGTGCAGGATACAGTTGGCTGCACGGAAATTAGAGTTCTACAACAAGATAAATGGATCCTCTATCTGGGGGTTTACTCATGCTGCAAAGTGGAGCCGTTGTTGTACGGATGGAAGATACAGGAGAAGTCAACAGATTCCTGGAAAGATATTCCGTTGGTTTCGTACAAACCAAAAATTGGGGTGAAGTACCTTCAAACCAACAAAGCCCGCACACCTACATCTGTAGCTAGGGGAAGATTGTGCAATTTTAGGGATCCACAGGGGCCACAACCAGATTGGCCTTCGTTGTGGAAAGCCTTGAGAGCGATTCCCTCACAGAAAAACGCTAGCTTGATGTGGATGCAGGCTTTGATGGTTGTCCCTACGGCTATCTGGTTGTCGTCCAAGGGTATGGAAGTGGCTAGTACGTGCACTAGGTGTGAGCGGGGGTGGGAGTCCAACCCCCACCTGTGGGTTCACTGCCCACTGGCGGATGAAGTAGGGATGTGGTGGTCCCATCTGTGGACTAGTTTGGTGGGCCAAGGTTTCCCATGGTCAGACGTCTGGATGTTGTACGGAGTTTTACCATCTAATAAGTTTAACTTGTCAGACGGATGGGGTTACGTGGCATTGGTTTGCGAAGGGGTAATCATGCAGGAAATTTGGCAAGCAAGAAACGACGCAGTATTTAGAGGAGAGAAGAGAGCGCTTCGCCAACAACAGCAGGTGATTATATCGAACATCAGACTAATCGTACGGGTGGACTGGAAAAGAGTGGGGAACGCCAGGGTAGAGGCCGTCCCTGGTTTCTCATAACTTGGGCCCGAAACAAGGTACTTGCATCAGTCTCAAAAGAAGGTAAGTTGGTGGTGTCTGACTGGCTTAAGCCTAGGTAGTCTGGTCGCTTAAGTGTGTTGCTGTAGGCATAGGGGTCGATAGACCAAGCACCAGGGCGGCGCCAGGTTTGGGCAAGGAATAAGGGGTAGAGGGGAGGAGGGGATAACAGCAAGGATGCAAGTACTGTAATGATGGATCAGGACGAAATCTGTTGTAAAACTAGCCGGCTAGTTGACTGTGACCTCCATCCGAATTTGGACTTTGGGACTTAGCATTTGCAGCAAAATAGACGCAGACTAGGAGATCTCAACAATGAGGCGAAAAAGAAAGTTTTTGTGTCAGAAAAGTCCGTATTCATCAGGCCACAAGTGTACGGGTCATTCCAGTTGTGTAAGATTATCACACCGCTTCTGCACTTTTGATTTCTCTCTCTCTCTCTCTCTCTCTCTCTCTCTCTCTC